GAGCATTGCCAGCAGGTTGAGGAAGGTGATCCTTCCATTCTGCTCAGCACTGGTGAGATCCTACCTGGACTGCTGCGTCCAGCACCGCGCTCCCCAGCACAAGAGACATGAACATAGTGGAGCAAGCTCAGTAAAAGGCCACAAAGATGATCAAGGGATTGAAGCACCTATCATACAAGAAGTTGAGAGAGGTAGAATTTTTTAGCCTAGAGAAAAGAAGGCTCAGTGGGGGATCTTAATAATGTGTATAAATACATGATGGGAGGAAGTAAAGAAGACAGAACCAGATTCTTCTGACTGGTATCCAGAGATAGCACAGGAGGCGATGTGCGCACACGGAAACACGGGAAACTCTATTTAAACAGAAAAAAGAAAAGTATAGTGTGATGGTGGTCAAACACTGGAACAGGTTGTTTAGGGTGATTATGCAATGTCCATCCTTGGAGATAATTCACAAATATGACTGGACATGGTCCTCAACAACCTGCTCAGGCTGACCCTGTTCTAAGCAGGGAGTTTAGGCTAGATTATCTCCAGAGGTCCCTTCCAACCTTGTGAATCTCCACTGGACTTTAGACTCCTACCTCAAGATCTATTGCTTTTTGTAGGTTGTAAGCTCCATGATGTGAGCTAAGGAAAAGAGACACAAGAGGTACTACTTAGAACACACTATTTCATCACAACTTTAGTCAATGGCTATGTACTGTTCCATGTATTTGTGTATTCTGGCTGATGCCTCTCTATGGATTTTTATATGCATATAAGTGTTCAGCAGTGTCCCATATTCAACTTTTTAAGCCATCACAGCCTTGTACTGCCCAGGTAGCAGAACACGAAATACCCATATAACGTTGACATCTACCAAAGTCTATTTAATTTCTGAACTCACTGCACTCTTGAATGTTATTCAGAAACAGAAAGAAGCAGATACAGCAATAAAGGAACCTTCAAAGGAGACTGTAGTTTGTAAATTGGGTAGAAATAGCCCTTCAGCTACTTTGACATGTTATTTTACCACTATAAATCTAAAAGAAAACAACATTCTCCAGGGACATGGTTAAGTATTTTCACTAACTGATCTCTTCCTTTTTCTTCATTTTCATTTTTCCCATTTCCAGCAAACACAGCACTATTCTAATCCAAAACGCAGAAAACTCAAACCACTTACAAGCTAAGTGTCTCCTTGGGCTGCTGTCACTGGTCTTTTTGCTAAGTACACATTTCCTGAGTGCCTGCCTTTGTGAGACTGCTTTTTATTATCAATGGACTCAATTCAGTATTTGTTTCTCTTTCAGTCCATAAAACGTAAGACCTCCAGCAATGCAATGGGGGACATGAATAAAAAAAGACAGTGGATATTTACTTGTTGTCACAGATATGATCTACCCTCTGGGTAGACCTTTCATGCTTGGAAAAGCCAGATGGAAAGGCTACCTCTATGTTAGTGGAAATAAAAAAGCCAAATAAGAAAAAGGTCCTTTGAGATCGGTCTTAAAATGAAACATTTCCCTTATTTGGCTACAAGGTATTCTGCAAAATTAACCCAAGAAAGAAATCAGAGGTGGAAGATACAAGAACTGTACTGGGTCAGACCAAAGGTCAGTCTAGCCTGACAACTTGTCTCCTACACTCCTAACAAAGAAGGACTGGCTGAGGATGTGAAGTTTGGGGGCAGCGTTGGCTGCAGTGACCATGAGATGGTGGAGTTCAGGATCCTGTGTGGAAGAAGCAGGGCAATAAGTAGGATTACAACCCTGGACTTCAAGAGAGCTAATTTTGGCCTCTTGGAAGGACCTACTTGGAGGAATCCCATGGGTCAGGACTCTAGAAAGTAGAGGGGGCCAAGAGAGATGGTTAATATTCAAGCATCACTTCCTCCAAGGTCCAGACCGATGCATCCCTGTGAATAAGAAATCAAGCAAAGGGGGCAGGAAACTTGCATGGATGAGCAAGGAGCTTCTGAAAAACAAAAATGGAAGAAGGAAATACATGGAATGTGGAAAAAGGAACAGGCCGCTTGGGAGGAATTTGGGAATATTGTCAGAATATGCAGGGATGCAGTGAGGAAGGCTAAGGCCCACTTGGAATTAAATCTGGCAAGGAATGTCAAGGACAACAAGAAGGGCTTCTTCATTAGTAGCAAAAGGAAAACTAGGGAAAATGTGGGCCCACTGCTGAATGACGTGGGTGCCCTGGTGACAGAGGATACAGAAAAGGCAGAGTTACTGAATGCCGTCTTTGGCCAGTCCTCAGGAATCCCAGACCCTGGAGATAAGAGCGAAAGTCTGGAGAAAGGAAGACTTTCCCTTGGTCGAGGAGGATCAGGTTAGAAAACATTTAGGCAAACTGGACACCCACAAATCCATGGGCCCCAACGGGATGCACCCATGAGTGCTGAGGGAGCTGGCGGATGTTATTGCTAAGCCACTCTCCATCATCTTTGAAAGGTCATGGAGAACAGGAGAGGTGCCTGAGTACTGGAGGAAAGCCAATGTTACTCCAATCTTCAATCTTCCCTGCAGAATGGCTATGCAGAACACTCACGGCCCCCTGCCTGCAGCACCTCAGGCAGTGCTTTTGAGTGGTGACTGGGGAGTCAGCTGAGGAGGAGAAGAAAGAAGGTTGAACCACACCCAAAATGGGATCTCCTCCCCACTAAGAAGCGGTCCACAGCCTCTATTTGACAGGGAGAGGTAGATGTAGATGACCATCATACTACTCTCTCCATCAAAGGACTCTGGAAGGGAGGGAACAGCAAGCTGGCCAATCATTTATGTCTGTGGTTACAATGCAATTCTCTGAGCACTCTCTAGGGTTACTGGAGAACAGGCACATACACATACGTCCTAATTTTTGTGAGAAACAAGCTCTGAACTGTGTGACCCACCAGACCACAGTGGGGAGCTGGCCCAAAAGGTAAGCCTGAATTTGCCATCAGAGAGATCTTGGAAAGCTCCTGTAGCAAACATTCCAGAGTGCACTGGAGAACACGCTCTCCTCCACACTACACCAGCTGACCCCAGGACCCAAAGTCAGTGGTGTGTTCTAACAAAGATCTCTTCAAATCTCTGAAACAGGGCATGCTGCCCATGAAAAATTATTGTTCTCCCTGTTTTCCAAGAACTGAGCCTTTTTCTTCTTGAATATAATATAACACTACTTGTTGGTCTGCTTGCATGAGGCATAGGAATCCTAATTTTGCTACAGGGTTATCTTTTCTCCAGAGAAACTTTCAGACTTCCGGCTACACAGGTCAATGACAAGCACTATTTCTTCAGAGTCTCGGGTTATATCTCAGTGGATCTTGAGGAAGCCTGAAGGAGTTCACCACAACTGCAAAAGACAGCAGCAGAAAGGACAAATACTTAAATAAGAGAGGCTGCTAGAAGACAGAAGGGGTTCAGCAAGGGTAGATTGCAACAGAAATAGGACAGCTAAAGAAATTAACACATTTCAAGCCAAGAGAAGGTTGCAGAAAGGAACAGCAAAGACATAGAGATGAAGGATGGCAGCTAATGGCAAATATGAAAGTGCATATGAAGAAGCACTTCTCACACAAGTGCCCAGAAAGATCTTCCTAGAAGCTATGCTAAGGCACATGGAAGTGATTCAAGACAGCTAGCATGGATTCACCAAGGGCAAATCTTGCCTGACCAACCAAGTGGCCTTCTATGATGGTGTGACTACATCTGTGGACAAGGCAAGAGCTATGGATGACATCTGTCTGGACTTCTGTAAGGCCTTCTACATGGTCCCCCACAATTTCCTTCTCTCTAAATTGGAGAGAGAGAGATTTGATGGATGGACTGTTCAGTGGATGAGGAACTGGTTGGATGGTTGCATCCAGAGGATAGTGGTCAACATCTCAATGTCCAGAGATCAGTGATAAGTGATGTCCCTCAGGGGTCTGCACTGGGACCAGTAGTGTTTAATATCTTCATCAATGACATAGACAGACAGTGGGATCGAGTGCACACTCAGCAAGTCTGCAGAGGACAGCAAGCTGAGTGGTGCAGTTGACAAGCCTGAGGGACAGGATGCCATCCAGAGGGACCTGGACAAGCTCCAGAAGTGGGCCCATGTGAACCTCATGAGGTTCAACAAGGCCAAGTGCAAGGTCCTGCACCTGGGTCAGAAAACCCCCTGGTATCAATACAGGCTGGGGGAGGAAGGCATTGAGAGCAGCCATGCAAAGAAGGACTTGGGGATACTGGCAATGAAAAGCTGGACATGAGCTGACAATGTGTGCTCGCAGCCCAGAAGGCCAACTGTATGCTGGGCTACATCAAAAGCAGTGTGGCCAGCAGGTCAAGGGAGGGGATTCTGCCCTTCTGCTCCGCTCTGGTGATACCCCACCTGGAGTACTGCATACAGCTCTGGAGCCCTCAACACAAGAAAGTCATGGACTTGTTGGAGCAGGTCCAGAGGAGGGCCACAAAAATGATCAGAGGGTTGGAACACCTCTCCTATGAGGACAGGCTGAGAGAGTTGGGGTTTTTCAGCCTGGAGAAGAGAAGACTCCAAGGAGGCCTTATTGCAGCCTTTCAGTACTTAAAGGGAGCTTGTTAAGAAAGATGGGGACAGACTTTTTAGTAGGGCCTGTAGCAACAGGACAAGGGGTAATAGTTTTAAACTAAAAGAGGGTAGATTCAGCCTAGATATAAGGAAGAATTTTTTTATAATGAGGGTGGTGAAACACTGGAGCAGGTTGCCCTGAGAGGTGGTAAATACCCCATCCCTGGAAACATTTACGGTCAGGTTGGATGAGGCTCTGAGCAACCTGATCCGGTTGAAGATGTCCCTGCTCATTGTAGGGAGATTGGACTAGATGACCTTTAAAGGTCCTTTCCAGCCCAAACTATTCTGTGATTCTATGCTGCAAGTATTCTCCATAGTTTGAGACTCTTCTAGTGGTACAGGGTTTTTCAGGACACAGTGAAAACCAATCTTTGCTTTACACTTTTGTGACTCCTTGTGGGTTGGATGCATCTGGTACTTACCTGGAACCACAGCTTTTGGTTCCATTTTTTCCAAAGGATTTCTTCTGTGGTTCACACACACAAGAATCACCCTGTAAGATGGACCAGCATGCAGTAAATGAGGGCAACCAGATCTGCTTTAAAAGCACATCACTGCTCAGAAACAAAGTGCTAAAGTAGATGCAGTCAATGTTTGTTTAAGCCAGTGTCTCTCTCTCTCTGCAATAGTTTGTGGATCAAGTCTCAACTGGAATGAACACTGAATATTCATCTTTGAAGCATTCTGAAGCTGCACTCTAGGACAGTCCAGTTCACAAATACCAGGACAAGGGACCTGTGAGAGTTCACAGTGTTCTTCCTAGGGCATCTGCCTGGAAAACAGGCTTCAAGAGATCAGGCGATTGCTGCATGACCTTCCAGGAAATGTTGCTTCCCCTTTGAAGTGCATTGTCTACCACAGGAATCACATTAACAATACTGACACACTTGTCTTATCCTTTAAAAAAACAAGTTTTCCCAGAAGGAAGACAGCAAAATAAAAACAGTAAAAGCTAAAAAACCAAAACCCACCACCACCAAGGAATTATTAGTCTATTAGCTCTGTCTATGCCACATAGATACAGTGAGGGGTTTTATTAACACTATCTATGCTACATGGAAGGTGCCTAAGTAGCAGTGTATTTACTGTATGTGAAAAACTGATGAAAGCAATGGATGTTTCCATTTTCATTTAAATAAAAAGTTTCCTTGTGTAGTGTCCCTTCATAAAACCAAAAGCCTAGAAAGACTGTATTGAAAAGATGCATAAATGTGACGCATCATGGGATTTGAATTATTTTATAGTTATTCTATTGTTACAATTTTTTTTTGGTTAATATTTATAAATATAAAAATGTGATTATTTTTCACTGGCATGACTAAAAAATTAGTCTTTTGTTGTCAAAAGCCCAGGGATTGAGGGTTTCTCAAAATTTCTACTATGCACAAGGAATCAACACCCAACAACATAGAATTGTAGAATCACTTTGGTTGGAAAAGACTTTTGAGATCATCGAGTCCAACCTTTAACCTAACCCTGACATCCCACCACTAAACCATGTCCCTAAGCACCTTGTCTATCCTTCTTTTAAATACCTCCAGGGATGAGGGCTCTACCACCTCCCTGGGCAGCCCATTCCACAGCCTGACAACCCTTTCGGTGAAGAAGTTTTTCCTAATATCTAGCCTAAACCTGCCCTGGCGCAGCTTCAAACCACTCCCCCTTGTCCTATCATCTGTTACCAGGGAGAAGAGGCCGACCCCCACCTCCCTACAGCCTCCTTTCAGGTAGCTGTAGAGGGCGATCAGGTCTCCCCTCAGCCTCCTCTTCTCCAGACTAAATAACCCCAGTTCCCTCAGTCGCTCCTCATATGACTTGTGTTCCAGACCCCTCACCAGCTTGGTTGCTCTCCTCTGGACATGTTCCAGCAACGCAACGCAACATCTTTCTTGTAGTGAGGGGCCCATAACTGTGTCCAGGAAAAACAAAGCTGCATGAAAACTGCAAGTGCAGAGCTTCTAGCAGGAGGATTACACAGCAGAGGGAGCAGTTTTCCTGAGTCACTTTTATTTCGTACCAGCATTAGAATTGCTGTAGCTGCAAATTATTCTAAGATGAGTTCGTAGACCAATGTAGTAGTTTTTATTAGACTAAACATGATAGCTGAAAAAAGCCTTTAAGAACAGAACTCCTTTCTGAGTATAGCTGAGTACATATTGAGAACAAGAACTCTGTGTTTACTTAGATAGGCAGTGGTAAAGCATCCAAGGGAAAAAGCACCTGGTACCTTTGAAGGAGGAATGTTGTGTGCTCTGTTAAGGAAAGAGATAATAATTGCTAGTATGAAAGAGAATTTGTGGGAAGGAATATTATCATTCACTATAAAAATAGTGTCTCTGCTGAGTCCACAATTTATGGTGACAATTTTAGTTCCTAAGATTGCCTGTAGAAAGTGCTTTGAGAACAAGAGATGAGAGATTGGGGGTGAACCAACCGTGTATGACTTTGTTCTTCACTAGTTGTCTGTGAGAGTTTATTCTGGTGTGTAGTTGTTGCTTAGTTTGACCTATGATGTTTCCAGGACACCATTTGGTGCAGAGGATGAACAAGGTTACATTCTTGGCAGTGAAAATGCAGCAGCTAGAGATGTGGAAGATCAACTCTGGGGAGTATTATTCTTATTAAGAGACAGGAAGATACTCCAATACAGAATGCATCCAGAAAAGTTGCTGCAGGTTTCATAGCACTGAGTGTATAGAACCTGCAGAGAAAATGTGCCCCGTGCCTTACACAATTAGGATCACTGCAACACAAAACTGTTGTAGCTCATACTATTCCATATCAATATGGTGAAATCAGCAATAAGATGAGAGTAGGTGGGCACATTCAGTGATTTTTATTAATATCTGAAAGAGATGCTCTCATTCCATTTTTTAAATCTTTTCTAAAAGAGAAAAAAATATAGCAAATTTTATTTTGCAGTCTTCTGCTTACCAGACTACATAGTTGTACATGTTTAGTTAGACCAAGTATTAGTCTTAGTTACCTTTTCTTTTACAGACTTTAATTCTTACCAATATAATAAAATTAAACATTTCAGCCTTCCCTTCACTATCCAGCCAAATCAGTTACAGGGCTTAAAACTGAGAGAAGGACTTTCACTCAACATGGGTTCTGAGAAGATCTACTCAGTCATCTGTGAAAGAAATAACTCATCAATTTATGATTAAAAAGAGTATCTGGATTATTTTCAATAAACCAAGACAAATTAATCTATAATAAACTGCCAGAAGTCAAGGACAGTAATTTATAAGAACAAGTTTTATCATTACTACACCACCTGAAGGTAACCTCCACCCTTTTTAGTGGCCAGTGAACTGACAGATACTGCCTGCAGCATCAACTTCCTCTAAAGATCCACTTCTCAACATGGAGAGCATCAGTGTCCTGGCCAAAATCAGAGCAAGTGCTTCGGAGTGTGGCTGCTACCTATATCTACCCTGCAGCTGACCACATTCTCACCATGGATATCGTGTCGTTACAGCAAGAATACTAACTACCAAGAAGTAAGAAATGACTCTACATGTCAGCACTGAGACAGGCAAGCATCACCACAAAAAGTACAAACGGGTGACTGACCAGCACTGTAACCCAAATGACCAGAAACTCCACATGCAACTAGTGAGGATCTGGCCCTTTGTAACAGCTGGTTTCAGGCCAAGAAAAAGCTAGACATCCATAGGGATGGCTGTGAATTGGCCAGTCTCCATCCACAAACACAGAAAGCTGCTGCAGTTCAACCCACAAGTGTTCTTGGAATCTGCTTGCTACAGCTTTAAAAAAGGTCAAGTAGAAGGTGTTCAAAAAAATAATTATGTTGTGATTGCACAGGCTGCTTTAATTGGGCAGCCAACTCTGCCTTGTGACAGACAGCTGGGAAATGCAGCTAGTGAGAGACTGATTTGTATCCACATTTAAGCACTTGTGTTTCATGCAAGCGCAACAGGAATTTAGGGGACAGAGCAGCTGCATTATGAGGAGAGATTTTTCTCCTTAATTTGGAGACATGCAGGCTGCAGTTGAAAATTACAAAATTATGAAGGCAGTGGAGAAAGTGAGAGCAGGACTGTTATTCACCAAACCTTGGAATATTAGAAGTATGGGCACTCACTCAAACTATGCGCAAGATAGGTTTAAAACAGACAAAAGCAGTGACTTTCCTTTACAAACATAGCAAGTAGCGAATTTCTGGTCACATGGGATTGAGAAAACCGGTAACATCGGCAGGCTAGACAAAAAGAGCAGGCTATACAAAGAGGACTAATTTATGGACAGCAGTTCCAAAACAGGTAGGGGAATGGGCACAAGTATACCTCCTAATGATCCTAATCCAATGGCTGTGGATGCTGGGAAATAACAAGGGGAATGCACAACGTGAAATGGTCAGGATCATGTCCTAGCCCCATATAGTATTGCCTGCTGTTACTGTCCGAGGCAGAAATACTAGTCTAGATGGGCCATAGGTTTGACACAATAAGGCATTTTTTATGCTTTTATGCATGAAGCCATGGCTGGAGAAAGGTCATTGACGCTATAGGCCTAAGAGTCCTGACTCACTGCAGGAAGAGAAGCTGGTGTGGCTTCACCTGTAATAGCTGTCATGTAACATACCATACTTGAAAAATAATGTGCAGAACTTATAATACAATAGACATGTATTTTGAAGAATTTCCACTACCTGTTAGAGCATTGAAGCTAAACTCAAGATGGTTTCTGTCATATCCCAGTAGCTGTAACTACTGAAGTTTTGGAAAAATTCCTTTGCTATTCTGCCCTATGTGCAGCTCCTGTCCGTAACACTCCCTGCTCCAGAGGAACTCAATGATGGCACTGGGCTTTGTGCCTGTGGTAGTACAGAACAAGCTCATCTTTATAGCTTCATAAAGGAGGCATCTAATAGTGACAAGCCTGTCCCCCCAGTATGAGAGCACAGAGTTTTAAAGGAAAAATCTGTCATTTGCTAGCATTCAAACACATGCTGATTTCCTCTGAGCACAACAGATTTCACCTGTTTCCTTCCTTCTCCTTTCAGACCCCACAGCTGTGACGGATATGTTACTAACACATACAGCACATGTGCCACACATCCCTTTATCTTCCGCTCTCTGTTTCTGCACCCCTGAAGAACTGAAAGGAAACAAATCTGAGCAGAATCATCTGCATGTATCCAAGGCTCAATCAAAGACTCATGAGACTTAACAGATTGACACAGCTACTGCTCCTTCTAGGTATTAAATGCCACCTCCTTTTCCCAGATTTTTTCATAGCTACATATGTATTTATATACTATACATCCCAAAAGCCTTCTGGAGCACAGAATTTGCCATATTACTTTAATTACTGACTCAACTACAGTGGCCGCTAGTCTAAACTTGACCCAATAACTTACCCAACTTCATACTGTAATGGATGGGCAGGAGGATTTCTGAATATGCTTGTGACTTCCCAGGAAGCCAGATAAGAGAGAGACTGATCTCATTTCAGTGGAGCCCACTCCTTTCTCAAGTCTAAAGAAATGTCTCTTTCCATCCTCTCAGAAGCCTGCCAGGCCAGTGGAAAGACACAACATTTTTTGTTACTGAAATCTAAAAAATATGACCATACACTAACTCATTTCTTGGCATTCCAAATTTAACCTGAAATCATAGCGTTGTATAACACAAGAAGCCAAGCACTGCCCTGGAGCGATAGAGATTTTATCTAGCTCCTGCTTCAATGGGAACTGGACAGCTGGAATTTGTCCATAAGTATTTGATAGTAAGATTAGTTACACTGGTCCAGTGGCCTAGAAAATGAGTCCCTGGAAATTACAACAGGAAAGAACCAATTAAACCCACCCATTTCCTCCACCAGGCATCATACGGGTGTAATCCACTCTGTACCCTTAGATAAGGGTAGATAGGACAGGACCATTTGACAGGGTTGCCTAAGCTAGCAGAGACCTGGGCTGGATGACAGAAGTCCAATGCAGGACTAGAATCCTTCCCGGTGGAAGTGAACAGTGTCCACTCTTTTAATACCAAGAACAATAAATGAGAAAGTTAGGTTCTCAACATAAGAAAACAGTAGATCTTCAGAGATATCAGTTTCTTTTCAAGTAATTTTTCCTCACAGCTGAGCTATTCATGAGATGACCTCCCTCCAATGCCCTATGGAAAAAAAAATTATAAAACCATATGATTCTAAAGTCATTCCGGTTGTGGGAATGGGATAGCCAGGTAAAAATATTACTAAAAAAAACCCCAAAAAATGAAATGGAAACCAGAACTGGGAAGACTTTAGAATGTGTTGAGAGTAAGTAACCAGGCCTTGGCATCAGACATCAAACTCACTCCTTGGCATCAGTCATCAGGCAAGAAAGTTACTGCTTACCAGAGGCTTGCAGCACACAGAAAAAGTTGTACCAATCAGAAATTATCTCTAATTTTCAAGTTTTATAAATTCTATGTGAATCCCAAGCCATTTATTAGGAAATGCTTTATGTTTCATTGTCCTGAGGAAAAAATTTTAATTACGCACATTTTCAATACTGACCACTAGATGTCACTCCTCCCATTTTGTTCTCATGCCTACGACCACGGTAACATTTCTACCTAGCAAAAAAGCTAAATAATGACTCTATGGAGAAATAGACAAATGATAAAATAGGGCACTAAGCTTTCACAAACACAGCCTCTTTGTAAGCCTGAAGTAAAAAAAAAAAATATATAGCTTTCAAATACTCACACGTCAAGGTGTTTAGGAGCTGAGGCTTAGATTCAGCACAACTTCTAGTTGGAGATGGTGAAAAATATAATCTTTGTAGTTATAGGTACAGACTTACTAACTGTTCAATTAATTTCCAGTTCAAACACTAACAAGGTGAACAACTTGGGTGGAAAGCAACACCTATCAAGCCTCTGCAGAGTCCATTATACCCCCAGAGAGTGAGCCTTGAGCCCTGCAGTATAGTCCTTACACAATATTCCCTTGGAAAACTTATCTTTTCAGTCCACAGCCAGCTAAAAAAAAAAAATTAAAATAAAAAAATCAGTGCTTTGTACTACACCTTAACTTCCATGTAAACCCAACCCTACCTCCAAAACCTGCAGTAGCAAATTCTCTCCTCTGTATGAATAGATGGCACTGTGTGGCATCAAGCACATTCACTATGATACCTACAAAAAAAAAAAAAAAAAGTAATGCATTAGTGAACACAAAAATACCATTACTAGGAGATTAGCATGTTTCAGCAAACCAGGGCAATAGTGAAGAACAGCACTGTAAAATTCTTTAAGGATAGGGCTGGATTTGTCATTATTTGGCTCGGATTCTCTTCAGAATACTTCTTGTGCATTGTTTTCTGGTTGTTGTTTGGCATCCTAATGTGCCTCTAAGCAAGGAGACATGTATGGGAAGCAATTAAAGCAGAAAGACCGAGACATTGGTAAAATAAATGCAGAGCTGTATTCCAGACCACTTTCATATTGGGAAGTGCATTTTCTTTTCTTAAGGGCCTATATGTTTTATTTCTGGGAAACAGACTGGAGAAAGAAGCCAAGAATAAAGGTCCCACTTTTAAATCACCTTGTCTGAGCATCTCCTGCTTGAACAGTTAATTCTGTGGCTCTGCATGAACCTGGTTAAATTTAGGTCTTCAAAACTCAGTATTTTTTAACAAATAGGAAGTGCACAAACACTCTTGAATTCAAGCGAAGTGCAAACTAGGACACTAGTGCAGCCTCTCTGGTCTTTTTCTTATGCAATGTATAACTCAAGAGTTTGCAGAGGCTAGGTTTGGAGAAGGAAATGCTGCTGACTCCTACAACACTTTTCAAAAAGTTTCATTCTCTCCACAAGCTTTTCCACTTTTCAGTCAGAGAATTGTTCCCCTCTTATGTGAAGCTTTAATGGAACTCAATTTAAAAAAATTGCTTTTGGAGTTTTTCAGCCATTCTCTACATTTAGTGTTGATGTTACTGCTAAGGCAAAAGGTGGGATTTTGGCATCAGGAACACACTGCAGCTGCACCCACGAACACTCCAGTTTCATCACACTTACCAAAGACGGGACAGAACACTACTGACAAATGCATTATGCAACCCAGAAAATGCTTCCACACTGCAGAGAGCACAAAAAAATAACACCATCTTCAAAATAACACCATCTTCATGCTGTTGTCAGTTAATAAATTGGGCACAATAGGACTATGAAATGGGCGGGGAGGTGGAGGGGATGGACACGCAGAATCAAGAACCAGGAGATTAACGCTGATAAAAAGAATGTACCCTTTCTTAAGAGATAAATCCATTTTTTTAATGAAACATTTTATTAATATTCTTCTAATACATTCCTCAACATATAACAACTCCTTTCAGTCTATGACGTAATGGGGCAGATCGATGCATTCCAACTCTAACTTCAATAAAGAAAAGGAAGATGGAAATCTGATCCATCAAAATTTTATTTGCATTTCCAATGATGAAAAACAAACTAAGCATTTTCTTAGCATAACTAATCGCATTACAACAATTCTCTCTAGTCCCCCAAACCCATCTTGTTATAAGGATTAACCTACTTTCCATAAAATATTGAAGAAGTCTTTCCAGATGCACAGAATTTTTATTCGCTTACAATTTATGTAGCCTAGAAGCAAAATTAAAGGTTGGCATGCTGCTTAGGAGAAAACTCACATTAAGTCCCTGCTCTGCCAGTATCATCCCATGTGATCTTGGGCAAGTCGTTCAGGACAAGTTTACACCTCACAGCAGAGAACGATGCCGAGTTCTCCAAGCTGCGGGTTCCCAAGCCAGGAACCACACGTGGCACAGCACTGCTGTACCAGGATGAACCAGAGTCAGTGCTGGTACATTCAGCTATCACTGCATGGAGGTGGTTCTAAACCAGTTACCTGGCTCACTCCACTGAGCTGTACTGCTCGAGGTCAGTGGTCACACAGCCTGCTCAGGTGTCTTTTCACCTACAGTAAAAGCACATGCTTAATTTCTCCATCTCATTTCTCCAGCTGTGGAATGGGAAGAGTAGCACTCCCATGTTTTGCAAGGATGCTGTAGGCATACAAACAAGAAAACTGGGGAAACATGGACAGAACAGAGTACCAGAGAGGAGGGAATACAGCACAGATCTCTAAAACCCATGCAGCACTTGAAATTTTCTCTGCTGCAATAGCTTTATCCCAGGCTTCAGAGGAAAAAAAAACAACAAACAAACAAAAAAATCTATTACCACTAGGTGACAAAGTTAAAATTGGAAACACTGAGGACCAAGCTGTGAACAGAAAACTGCTCAGGAGCAATTTGACTGAGAAAATTAAAAAAAAAAAAATTCTTGAGGAAATACCTTTGCTCTTGGGAAATGCCAAGTTTATTGAAATTTCTTGAAGAAAAATAAATTTCTGCTAGGAAAGGTTATTCAGGTTCAAGAAGGATTTTCTGATCAAATCAAAAGGGAGAGGTGCCAGTTCCAGAATGTTCTGCAGATCTGCAGAGTCAATGATAAGACAGACTTAAGTTCAAATCACATGCATGATGAGACTTGGCACAGGGAACTGAACTTAAGGCTCCACATAAGTTCCTGACCTGGCTAGTTTGGGAGCAGAGTCTTTTGTATGTGTAACTGAATGCTCACTCTGACCCGTATAAGAAAGACTCACATTACAGCCCAAGGTCAGCACACCTGTTTGGGTGCGAGAAATGTATGTTTAAATTTCTATTTCACGCAAAGCATTGTTGGGATTTGAAAGCAGTTCTTCCAAAAAACTAAATAAATACCCTGCGTGTTGGTGTATTCATTATTCTGTTTCCAGTTAAATCTTTCAGAAGTGTCTGTTCTGTACCAGTGTAGAACAGGAAAAAGGTTTTATGGGGTAGAAGCCTGTTTCCTCTCCATCTCTAAAAAAATATCAGATTGACAGAAAGGAAATTAAGAATTTTATGATAAAAGAACCTTCTAGCTTTACCCAAACACTGGAAAAGATAACGAACTTTAAAATCAGGTACATTTATTTTCAATTTATGTTCCACACTTTTTTTGCTAGTGTAACTTCAGATTTTAACTAAGTGATGTCGGCTTAGCACTCATATAGAAGAAAGCTCTGTTAACTCTTTTGTGGCTCCTAAAACTGGAGTTTTTCACTCTCTTCAGAAAATAAAGCTCCTTTTCCTTCCCAGCTAAGTAGAATACTTTATACCTGTTAGCTGTTAAACTTGTTTTCACTGAAATTTGATGTGAAACCATAGCAGTCTATGGCCTTTCTCTGAAGGAGATAGCTGAACTTCAGAAAGCATTTCTATTTACAGTTCTTTCACTTTTCACCCAGGTACCAGGTGCTTTTTCTGTCCCTATTTGTATGAGTCCTATTTGGATGAATAAGTCTTCAGATGCCAGTTCTGCACACAACCCAAAACTCTAGCTTTTGGTCTCACACCCTGCCTCTAAGCTGGGGTGGCACAGAACACGCAAGATGATGGGCTGTTTGCTTCCTTTCCCAACCCTGAAACTCCACACCCAAGCCCCATCCAAGTCCCTTTCATCAAGCAGAGTTATTATTAAGAACAAATTAGAAACGCCAAATAAAACAGTCCAATTGTAAAGTTCTGATCACCATCTATAGTCCTCTCCTCTTTCCAGCAAGTCCTAAACGTTCAGCCTTCTTGAGTCCCAGCGTATGAATCTCCACATGTTGGCTGGTGCATCAACCGCGTGACAGAGAGGACGGAGAATGACGTGCCACAATGTGCTGGGTTATGTGACAACTCAACAGGCCAATGATAAAGGAAGATAAATGCAGAAGTTTCACAAATATTTGCTGACATTTGATAACCTGATTGGATCTAAGCCTCCTCTCTCATAGATCTGACCTACACGGGAAAAGTAATCAGTATGACTGCACCTGAATAGGAAAATGTGTGGAGTCACTACATCAGTCTCCGATGAAGTCATTCTTAGCTACCCACAGAATAGGGCTGTTCTGGCACTGTTATGCCAAACAATCTCCCAGACAGACTAAAGGTTACATCGGCTTTGCAATCAAATAACAGAAGCTTTGCTGTTATCTTCAGAGATAGTCCTGATTAGAACCTAGGCAAGAGCAGAATTAGGGGCAAAGGTAGAATTCCTGCTCTGACCAAAGGTCTACTGCAGCATACGCATACTGCTCAGCAGTATACTGATCTCATCAGGGTTTTCTGCACAGCTGAGAATTTCATCACACATAAAGACATTTTTATGAACAGGCTAAAGGCAGTACAGTTGTGAGCTGGACAAAACTAAACACAGATAAAGGAAACACACACAAACAAAAAACACTTAAAACATGAGTTTCAACCCTCTATCTTTACCTGAAAGCAGCTTTAAAAAAAAAAAAACAAACCAAAACAACAACACACCACACCCCCCCCAAAAAAAAACAAACAAAAAAATCCCACCACACTTAGAAAAGGTAGTTCAGATAATGTGTAAAAAAAGATATTACAAAGAAAACTTCCATTAAGCCACTCTGGTCTGATGTTCCACCCTAATACACATTATTTCTCTCATTTAAGTGCAGTAACCGGAATCCAAGAGGCTGTTTGTATGAGCAAGGGTTCATTCATGGAAGTGAGTTGAGCTTATTTCACCATCAAGAGTCCTTCAGATTGGCAAAAACTCTCCCCACCTTCAGTGGTCAATACATTAGGCCACTGATTTTTAGGCACAGAAGAAAGGGCCATAAGGGATTCTAACAGATCATATAGGTTCTTCCCCCTCCTCCCAAAAGCAGGATCAATGCTAACTAAATCATAGAATCATTTAGGTTGGAGAAGACCCTTAAGATTATTGAGTCTAACTGTAATAATTCCTGACTGATGACTGATGAACAATGCTTGAAACTTTTCAATGATACGGACACTCCGTATTCTGCCAAGGCCATTTCTTCCAGTCTTTCACTGTCCTTATGGAAAGTTTTCTCTAACGTATAACCTGAATAATTCTCATTACATATTAAACATATATTACCTCTTGTCCTATGTACCCTAGGAGTGCAAGACATGCCTTTTTTTCAGGGACCTTTTATATATCTAAAGACTGTACCCTCTTGGCTTCACTTCCCCTAGACTTAAATTCAGCTCCCCCACTTATTCCACACAAAAACCAAGGTTCATGTAACTATGTTCATAGAACATAAGTACTGTGAATCCAAATTAACACCATATCTCACATAATGATTTTGCATAGAGAATTTGCAACTAAAAAGCTATACAGGTTTCCTCCCCACCCCTTCACTGCGCACAGCAGCTCTGTTAACCTGTCAGGTCAAGGCCATCCTGGGCTCCACCATGGCCTCCCTCCCAGCCCACTCCTCTCTGCAGTGGGACTCAGCCAGACACTGCAGGGCCCAAGCAGAGTCAGGTAGCTGCAAACTTTGCTTCCCGCCCTTCAGCTCCTCACCTCCTCTCGTAACTGCCACCAGTAGAGATAAACCTGGATGAAAATGTGTGAATCTGCAAGAAGTTTCCTACAGATTTCCTACAGGTGCAAAGGAATCAGTGATACATGGGAATACATCTCTCTGGAGAAGAGCCCTCACAAAGTATGTTGCAAGCTATCCAGTGTGATACAGAGGCACAGGGTGACTCAATTGCAAAGTTCTGAAAATCAGTTTAGACAAACTACATGTGCCTTTGAAAAAAGCATTCCAAACACACACATAATTAAATAGAATTAATACATAAAAAACCCTGAAGGAAATTCAATGCATTTTGATAATAGCTTCAGAGCTAAACAAACTGGGAAAGATTCAGAGAGACGCTGATTTGTCAGATGAGGCTTTTCACTGAGCCCTTTCAGGAATACAGAAAAGGGAACCTACTCTGTAGCAGTTATAAAAAAGGAAATTAGCAGCACAGAGAATCTTAGATCACAAAGGATTCGGCCAAGATGGATAAAGACAGCACAACCCCTGCTCATGCTCTAAGCAACATTTAGTGTTATATAGAATTGTAGAATCATTTAGGTTGGAAAAGACCTTTCCATCATTGAGATCTTAAATGGAGAGTTCCAGGTCACACTAAGAAAGCGTATGGTAACTAAACTATGGGAATAGTGGCCTAAAATTGCCGTCAAGAACTAGAAACCCCTGGTAAGTGTTTTAATTTCTCCTATGCAAGTTCACAAAGACCCTGCTTAAAGAATAGTCTGGTGCTTTTGAAGATTTAAAAAAAAAAAAAACAAACCAAAATTACAGCATATTATTATGGCGGAATGATTGGCGGAAATTTAAAAATGACATATTAATCAAAATGTAAAAGACATTACAAAACAGAAAGTCAACACTATCACTCACTACCCATGTTTACAGAAACAAATTTTGGATCCCCTCCAATAGAGACAAAACCCCAAATTCACCCAAAAGAGCAGAGGAGAGAACTTATTTTTCAAGTGTTCTCTACATCACTTGAATACTTTTATCAAATATTTTATATCTTATGAAATAACTTCTTTATTCAAAGAAGTTCTGACTTTATTTCAATCCTTTATCAATGTTATTGTTTATTCTTTCACTAATAGCAAATCTTAACTCTGTCCTAACAAAGCTTTACTCGTTTAAACCATTCTCAGGTGTGATTCGTACAGACCGTCTGCACAGTCTTCCTCCACAGAGCACAGGTAAATGAAAGATTAATATCATTATTAGAGGCAGTGTTTAATGTCCATTACACAGCCTGTGCCATGGGTAACAACATTTGCGGATGAGGAAACACCAGCTGTGCAGAAGAGGCAGCAAAGTCCTTGTCCTCTGCTGTCACCTCAGCTACGTTCAGTCCCCACAGCAGGGACTGGCTCACTCGGCATGGCTGTGCTCTATTCTTTCCCAGCTAAACAAAGTGTAGTGCCATGAGATTACCTTAAAATACTGATGCCTTCCTGCTGCCAAATTATGTAAAGCGATGGCCAGAAGGAAGGGACACTGCCTAATAATTAACTAATATAAACTGAAGCAAAAATCCCCTGGCAAGCCTTATTTTGAGGCCTGATGATGATTCACAGCTACATTTCCTCCAACTGAGATTTGAGAATATATTTTAAGGCATTAAAAATATGAGGATTGTATTTTACTTCTACTATAACACATTATTTTCATTTTTAGGAAAGAATAATTCTTAACGTGCCAAAAATGCCAACTAATCTTAACAAAATCTCTGGCTGCAAGTCAGGGTTGTTAGCATTTCCCTCTTACAGGTAGAAACCCTGCAGTACAGAAGGCAATGTAAATTGCCAGCCCTGAATTAGTGCTGGAGCTCAAAATCAAAACCAGCATCCTTGCTTCTATGGACAGCTGTGCTTAGTTTCAGCCAGGGGAAGCAAAGCAACTCCAAAAGAAGCATTTAAAGCCTTTGCAGCCTGTCCTTTCCCCAGTGCTGTTACTGGAAATATACCTGCTACTCAGCCAAAATGCAGGTGATGTCTCCCAATGTGCTTGTGCACCGCCATCGCATGACTGGCACACTTCCAGTCCTGCGTCTGCAGAGGAACTGGGGACCACTGGGGAAGAAGGGACTGAGAACATGGGAGGGTATGAACTGTTCTTACAAAATGAGTCCACTCAGCGGCTGTAGATTCCTGCCACAGGTTTTGCAGCATCTTTAGATATAAGGAGTCAGCTTCCACTGATCTCCACTTGCTCACCAGTAAAAGGCAAAGACAACCATAAAAATCTAAAAAGCTTATTGAAGTGATAAATCAGCACTACTCAAAGTGTGCATTCAAAAGAAAATCCTTCTTCAGTGAAGAAGTATACGTTTAAGTATGACAGAAGTCAACGTAGGTTGCATGAAGCAACACTGGTGATTTGTTTGAACGGCAGAAGCAAGGATGTGAATTTAGCTTAATTTTCCTGAAAGGAAATCAACCTTTCAGCAATTTGGGCAAAGCTGAGTTCAACAGAGATGCTGCGTTCAAAAATGATGCCTTCAGAAATGATTTCTTGTGAACATCTGCCCACAGAGCATTACAGGAGAAGTGGCATTTCTCTCTGAAATCCTCTGCCAGACTCTGTAAAGGTTATACCCAGTTCTCAGGAATCATCAAATCCCATGGCAACGGGACCCAGGACATATTTCCCTCATTCCCCACACTGATGCTGAACAACATGCTCGGAGTGCTAAATGCAAGCATTTTGAGATGCCCTTCAGAAGGTTCCTCAACAGCTGACCAGTCACTTTGTATGCATTTCTTTTACTCAGTGCTTAAGTTACAGAACACTTTTCTTTTATACTAGAGCTTTCAAAATGGATTAATGATACAGGGTGGCAAGAAAACACAGTCAGCAGTCCTGTCCACAGCAAGACATAGCCTGGCCCTTACAGATGAGGACACAACCATTGCGCCAGGAACACACTGGAGAACAGGCTCCCACATCTCCCACGTTGTGTGGGGAACCACCCGCCACAATTGCGTGCTTCACAGAGCGACAGGCGGGCAAAAATGGGAGAACCAGACTATGAAGCCAGAGCAAAGCGCTCAGTCTTTCACTTGTGGTGCATCTCCAGACCTTATATAAAGGTGCATTTTGTCCCTTTCCAGTCAGAAGAGCCCTATTGGCCCCTCACAGGAGGGACACGCTGCATGTGGCGCACCCTAGGATTTGCAACACGGTTCCCACCTGGGGATAGTCCATCCTTCACGATCACTTTGTGCCACTTGGTAAGTCAAAAGAGGAGCGCCCCGATCACCTTCTCTCTCTGCCACTCACTGCTCTCTACCTCGCAATTTTTATCGCAGCTCTTCTGTTCCTCAAAGCTACCTCTACATGGAGACCCGCCCCCACTTCCAGCGAGGCTTTACCGCCCAGCAGAGCCACCTCCCCCGGCTCCTCCAGCCGCCCGGCCCCGCTCCCCCTCACCCACCGA